GATCCGGCAAATATGTACACCGATCACTGCCCCACGTTTTGTTGTCTTAAAATATCATAAGCGGTGTGTCTCTTTACGATAGAATTTCAATAAACCTCATTGAAAATCAGTTTGTTTTCTAAAAATTAGATTGCCTCTAGTTAACTTAAATCCCAATAGCTACTTTCTGTTTTAGGATTTATTTATTACGTTGAAAATCATACTGCTTTGGTCATTCCATTATAAACTGCGATACAACTTTATCGAAATTATTTTTCGCATTTTTTCCTGCTAATCCCGTGCTTCTAAAATGAGTCGATTCTCTGATAAACCTTTAAAATAACTTGATGCACATTTGATTGGCTAATATAATAAATATATATATATATATATATATATATATATAATATTATTATTATTTCAAATGGCAGGCGTTTTGGATAGTTATCATTAGACATTTAACTGACTTCGGGCTCCACAGAGGGGAGGGGAACATCAAAGTGAGAAAAATTCGAGAGGCGGGGCAAAAGAGTGATTCACAGATGTAGAAGAGACAGACAGACACAAAGGTAGGGACAGAGGTGAGGTGAGTACTGTGGAAGTTGTGGAATATGGCATACAGTGAGGGGTGATGGTAGTTTGAAGTCAGTAGTCAACTATCGGTTTAAAGACTTTTTGCCGTGTACTACCAACTTGACACTTCGTTCGCTCTTTTCCTCCACACACACACAGATCGCCACGAGCATGTCCGCCACATTCGTGAACCCCAGTGAGTGTCCACTTCAACCTGTTGACATTCACCCTCCCCTACGAATGCCTCCCCCTCCCCCGCCTGCTACCCCAGCACACAGTCGCATAGGTTCAATTCGAGCAGGACCCCATCTGCCCTCCTCTTCCATCTCTTCCGCTCCTTCCTCCGCTTCCTCGTCTGGAATATCCTCGTGTAGTTCTACATGCACGGCAAACTCCGGAGAACGTTCGCAAGTTGAATTACTCGTGAACTGGCTTCTAACTGCTGGATTCTCAGAGTAAGATGTTGGAATTTACCTGAGTGCTCGTTGAGAGCACATTTTCACCTCACAATATGAGTTTTCATTACCTGCTAACTATTAGACTACCAATCGTAAACCCCAAATCGGTTACACCCCTGAAACACCTCATGTCGCTAAATTGCCGCTCCTCAAAATTAAAATGTATCTTATTGGATTAGTACACAAGGGGACTGTATTTGATGATGTGCATTTTATTTATTATTTTAACAAACAACTCATGACCACATTGGGTGGACCTCTAAGACAATATCGATGTTTTGTATTTAAGAGGAAATAAAAAGGTCGTTTTGTTTTGGTTACCAAATACATGGGCTGTACAGAGTCCATATGCACCACTCATTTTAAACAAAAAATGTTAATAAAAAAATATTCTGATGAAAGAATTCCTAAAGGCTACAAGCAATAAGCGTTGTTGTTGGATGAATAGCCGAATTCAAACCGGCAGAGAAAGTAGGAAGTGAGATGTCACGAACTAATGCTTCTTCTACCCTAAAAGTGCACAAAAAAATAGAAGCTGGTGAATCTTTCTCTCGGTGACCTTCAAAGCTGGGTTTTTCTTCAAACTAAAACTCGGGAAAGTCCTAGGAACAGGCAGGCAATAATTAGTCTGCAAAAAAAGACAGGAATTGTTAGAAGCGGATAATATTACTTAGAAGTTTATTTATTTATATCAAATGACAGGCATTTTGATAGTTTCATTAGCCCTTTAGGTGACTTCAGGCCTCACAGAGGAGAGGAAATATCAGAGTGAAAAAAAGTCGAGACGGGGGGGGAACAGAAGAGTGTTTCAAAGATGTAAGAGACAAATACAAAGGTAGAAAAAAGGTGAGGTGAGTACAGTGGAAATAGTCGAATATGGCATAGAGTGAGGTGATGGTAGTTTGAAGTGAGAAGTCAACTATCCGTTAATAGACTCTTTTGCCGTATAAGAATACGTTCCCCAGGGTGAACCACGTGGAGGTAAGTCTTTCGCGTACCCCATATTACTTAGAAGTTGATGCTAGGCAACATCATCGCTTTATACCATTTCTCCTCAGTTACACCCCCTGCATCGTTGCCGCGGGCTATGATTTGAATACACTGCGTCGAGCAACTCCGGAAGATCTAAACGCATGCGGCGTGACAAATCCTCGAGATCGACAACAGTTGCGAGCTCGTCTCAGTCGTCTCCAACTTCCCGAAAGTCTTCCAGATCATGTACCGGTAAGTTACATCTCTAGCTGCTTACTACACCATTAAAGCCTTGATTATACTCAGAAATCCTACATGGCCTATTCTCCTATGTTTGGAAAGACTTTCAAAACCAGCTAATCTACCTCAAAGGTATAGGGGAGACAGACGTAACACGTTTATTCGAGATGTGTGTAAGGGCAGGGAGCATTGTCGCTATATTAATATGGCGGGTTTGATGAACCAAGCGAGAACTATTGATTGGCGGTTGGCTGTGTGTTCTTCACACCCACGCGAAGTGGCATGCCGCTTCTCCAAGCCAGACTGTTTGCGCATGAGATTACCTGTCCAGCGGTGACTTTTAGTGTCCCACGTAACGTAAAATTGCATTAAAACTTGCAATATTTATTTATTTTTTTCAAATAACCGGCGTTTTGAAAGTTATCATTAGCTCGTTAGCTGACTTCAGGCTTCACAGAAGGGAGGAGCATCAAAGTGGGAAAATTTCGGGAGGGAAACGGAAGAGTGATTTAAAGATGTAAAAGAGACAGATACAAAGGTAGAGAAAAGGGTAAGGTGAGTACTGTGAAGTACTAGAACGTGCATTACAGTGGGGTGATGGTAGTTTGAAGTCAGAAGTCAACTACCGGTTGATAGACTTTTTTGCCTTATGAGTATACGTTGCCCATGGTGCATCACGTGGAGGTAAGTCTATCGCACACCCCAAAGACTGAAAAATAAACTCTGTTAATTTTATTAGGCATTTTGTCATAGATTAATTTTTTTAATTTTAAAATTGTTTAACTCTTAGTATATAATAAATTAAATATTTCACGAAAATTTAGGATGCACTTTTTCATTTTTCTATTAATTCACATATTCAAGCAATTTCAACTTAATTTTGTAAATTATTACAAAATTTTTATTTATTTCGAGACCTCTAAGTGGAGGAACACATAGATGGGATTCAAATGGTTGTCATTAAGGCAACGCTCTAATTATATGCATTCAATAGCCTCACTCATTCCACCTGACTTCTAATGAGGAGAAGCTGTTGGTGTAGATGTAATCGTGAGTGAACCTTGACCTTAAGCAAATGAACTCAGAAGAGTACGCTTTAGCGTTGAAAAACCAGAAGTGAAATAAACTTGTTTCTTTAAAATTGATGCTTAATGATGATTGGAAAAAAAAGATTATTACCAAGCAATGTTACGATAAGTTTGTAAAAAAGGCTAGATGAATTTCGAAATTTTTATCCATAAATGTAAATATATAGTCCTGAAACCATATACTGCCATCTCCTAAATGGCTTATTTAAATTCTCTCACAATTACGCTATAGTAAATGCAAAGATTTCTGATAGTGTTGATTTGAGATTGCTTAAAATAAATAGTCGTCAAATTTAAACAAGCTCTTAGGGCTGAAACGTTTTTTTCATTATTTTACAGAAATTTCCATTTTAAACAATGAAGCACGATCTTATTATGGTAAATATTTTAATTCCAAAATCTATAAATTCAACTTTTTAGATTAGAAAAGGGGCATTTATCCTCGGGGACACATGATGATTTTTTCCTCTCAATTAAAAAAAGATTTATTGAAGAAAATTAAGGATGAAAATTGGATCAGGATAAATCAAATTTGTAGATACACAAAGTTACAACATTTTGATAGCAGATGGAAATAAAGCGGTGAAAAACGGTACAAACTTGGATTAATTGTTTGATAACAGGGAAAGCAAACTTCTTTTTATCAAAGTTCACTTACTCTTTTTTAGGATTGGAAAGGTTTCAGGAATTTTATTTTGAAACCTCTCTAACATTTTAAATACTTTTTATTCCCTTTTTTGTTTTCATTAAAACTCCAAAAAAAGCATTCTCTTTACGCCAAATGCTAAACACATATACCTCTAAGTTTGCATTTATATGTAGAAATTGATGAGAAAATTTGCGGATTACTATAAGTATTTAGATATTTATTCGCGACACTTAAAGAACATGCCGCTTTGGTCATGACCGGCAAAAAATCAATAAGCTAGCACAATTGTAAACCACTTTTCGCGTGAACATAGCTCAATCGATCGATGATTTCATAGCACGACTGGTGAGCAGTCCGTTCTTGTGACCACACCTATGGTAAATTACGCCAACAAAATTCAATTAGATGTGAGACAAGTTAAATCTACCACTTTTATACTTGTATAGGATTAAAGAGAATAAGGTGATTAAATTAGGATTACATTACCCTTCTCTCATGCTTTAAACACCCATAATTTATGTCGTCTAAAAATGCGACTTGGGTTCATTTACTGGCAAGCAAATGCTGTTGGAGTTTCACTTTTTATTCTACTTCTGACTCATTTCCACCCCCCCCCCCCCCCGTCCCCGCCCCCACGCTCCGCCTCCCTTCACTTGCTTCGCAGTGATTAACACTTCTTTCACTCCTTCTTTCTGCCTTCCTTCTTTCTTTTCCTCGCCCTTTTGGCAGCATGGTGCTGAAAGGAGAGAGTTATTATTTTTGTAGGGAAAGAATTCTGCCCCCAAGACAGCAAGTAAATGGTAGAAGTGGCTAAATATACGTGAATATGCCTTACCAACAGTTGGAAAACGCAAGAGCACATTCACAACACAAATCTAGTCGAATAATAATCATAGCTTCTTTATGCAACAGTAAATTATCACTCATCGTGATTGTTTTCAATTTATCAGGCTGATTAAAATTTTATTGAAGAAAGAAAAATTTCCAAATTTCTGAATTTTAGTCCAGCGTATTTGAATGGCTATCGATTATCAATTTGACCAATTATTGGCCAACTTTTCAAGCTCAAGGGCTAACATCATTTGAGAAAATCATTGTTCTGACATGGGAAGATTTTGAAGAGATCGGAATCACAAAATTAGGTAAGAATTCATTCAAAATAACAAGCCGAACTAAATGTTAATTGGAAGTAATAATTTATTGAAATTTCTTAACAGGACACCAAAAGAAGTTGCTGTTGGCCATCGAACGTCTCCGACGTGTTATGTCAAAACGATCTGAGGAACAAAATCATGGAATAGACTCCCTGAATCGATCCCTTCAACATCAGATATCTTTATCTCCCCATCGAGGTATTTGGAACTGATAGCCTACTTATATCAGATTTAAGTAGAATTCTGATACCATCTTTTTTATAAACAGCGCTGCGGTCAGTATCATTGGTTGAAGACCGAGAGATTGGCAGATTGAATGAAATTACACCCCCACCACCTCCCAGATTTCAAGATCCTCCCAAGGTCACAAGGAAGATTTCCATCGATTGTCCAGCTTCTCTCACTTCACCGGATCCCCACAGGATCAGCCAACATAAACACTTCTCCACTAGCTTTCTTGCTGATTTCGGTCGGTTGGGAACAGGCGCTTCCAATCCAAGTGATATTGTTGGTGAAGGAAGTACAAAATCGGATCCCCTACCTATAATTGATGATCTAGACATTGGTGATAAGGAGAGGGAGAAGGGAAGTAGGATAGACCAGCAGTCAAAAGCGGTTCATGATGATTCTATCCTAACTTCAAGACAGCGTCATAAGAACGCAGCAGCGGCGGTTGTGCCTATTCCTGGTGAGTTAAATTTAATTTGTCCATAAAAATTGTTCTGCTTATTGTGCTGCGTAATTTCACATCATGGGCGTGTGTGTTTGCGACTTCTTACCAAAGCGATTTACTCCTTTTTTAGTTTCCGTCGCAAATCAGATGATTCCACCTCCCACCAGGTTAGTGGTCATTTTCCCTTTTTTTAACCAACTATTAAAACAATGATGACTTCATAGTATTTACTTGGCGAATGCAGTAGGTGATCTTATTTTCATAGACGTGACGTCTTTTGAGGTTATTTTTGAGCAAATAAATTCAAAAAGCTCGAAAAATCTTCTGAGTACATCTCTAAAACCCGATGGATTTGCATCTAAGTAGACATCTATCACGAGAAATCCATAAACTTTGCCGTACAAAAAAATCTTAGACACTTATTACGGATTTATTGCGAAAACGACTTTAATGTCAATTATTGCGTGACCGAAAACTCACACCACGAAATAATTGATTATTTTGACAAATGCTCTAATCACTTTCACTTGTCATTCCAGTGGAACAACAATGGACAAAGATCTCCAGGATATGCAGGATATCCGATCGATGTTGGACAAATTGAGTGAGCACTTGACTTCTCGAGGTTCTCCTTAGACTTTTGTCTCTCCCACACACCCCCACACTTCTCAATGTACCTATACAGGACTCAAACCTCAAGTCTTTCAATCTCTCTCTCCCTCTCTCTCTCACCCCCTCTCTCCCCCTCTCTCTCTCTCTCTCGAATTCAACGAGTTTTCTATTCAAAGATAGTCATGTCTAAATATGGTCATTATATTCTCCAAATCCGGTCTTCTTTACTCTCCCCCCCCCCCCCCCCACCCTTCGAAGTAGTTTACTGCAACGCTGTTTCCGCACCACTGTTTTTTTGTTTGTTTGTTTGTTTGTTTCTTATTTACAAATATTGCCTGTTAAAAATTTTTAAAATAAATTGAAATTACGTGTCTTCTTTAAGTAATTACTACATCTATTCATTCTCTTAGATTCCAGCTTTGAGTTCATGTTAAAAAATTCATTCAGTTGGATAAATGAAAAGCGTTTACTTTAAAGAAGGAAATTGTAGCGGGTTGCTACCTTAGTAAAGCCTGACTGACTCAGAAATCTCTATGGCAAATTCTCCAACATCTAGCTAGACTCCCAGAACCAGCTAAGCTATAGCCCAGCTATAAAGGAAACAGACGTGTAACACGCAGCACGTTTATCCAGTAAGTATATTGTGGATAAAGTGTACACGCAGGGAGCTACTCATGATCAGGATGGGGGATTAGGTTAAACAGAGGTTGATGACTGGTCACTGTTTGTATGGTCGCAGTACACAGAGTTGTACGGCCGCACCTCCCAATCCTGACGAGCAGACATGCAGGCATACGATGACGCACACAGCGATAACGTGTCCCACAAAATAAAGGAGTGAGTGACTGTAACTATAATTATTACCGTACTAAAAAGGGGGTTTATTTTATGAGTCATTTTCCCCATTCGAAGGAATAATTAATTTAATTTAAAAATTGTGTTGTTGAAGAATTTGACATTTAATTACGCAACTGGATAGCTTGGGAGTGCTACATTTAGGGATGATTAAACAACGATCTTATTAAACGATCCCCCGTAAATTTCAATAGTCTTGGAGGGAGGGGGTGGGGTGGTTTGTTTTTATTGTAAGGTCAATTGTTCAATCTTCGTGATGAAGAGGTGGAATCCATTGTCCGACTGTCAATGGAAACGTTTGACAACATTTTGCTGGTTGAATAACATCTGGCAGCGTCCACTTCAAATTTCAAATCGCTCTTTCAAAAGCAAGTTTGTACATTGTCAAATAAGTCTGCACTTCTTGTAACAATGACATAGATTTAGTATGAATATATGTGTTTTCAAATTCGGTTGAGGATATATAGGTGTGTGTGTGAAATCATCATTTGAAATGGCAGGCGTTTTGATAGTTATAATTAGCCCTTTAGTTGACTTCAGGCTTCACAGAGGGGAGGAGGAACATCAAAGTAACAGAAAGTTGAGGGGCGGGGAACAGAAGAGTGATTCACAGATTTAAAAGAGACAAACAGAGGCAAAGGCATAGAAAAGGTAAGATGAGTACTGTGAAAGTACTCGAATATATTATACAGTGGGGTCATGATAGCTTGAGTCAGAGGTAAACTTCCGATTTATAGACCTTTTGCCATATGAGTATACATTGCCCAAGATGCACCACGTGGAGGTAAGTCTTCCGCACACCCCCAAAACGTCTGTCCACTCACCCTTGCGTGGGCAAGGCATGCTGGGAGACGACGGACTTGGAGATGCCGGGGGTGGAACCCGGGGCCTCTCGCATGCAAAGCGAGCGCTCTACCACTGAGCTACATCCCCTCGAATATGAAATTGATTTGGTTAATAATCCATATTTAAGATCAAAGTTCATTCAATATCAAAAGATAATGCCTACATCTAGAAACCTAAAACTTGGAACTATTTAGATGTCACACTACGCTGTTCTCATGGCTATAGAGTAGCCTGGTTCTAAGTAGTAAGCTTGTAGTTAGTTGGAAACAGAACTTCTACTAACACTTATCATCCGTCGCACTCATTCTGATGTTGTGGGTCGCCATAAAATAGAACTATTCGGTGTTGCTTGCATGCCCATACGTCTTCAAACAACGTTAACAAGCGTCATTGAAGTGTCGTTTCAAGATTTCTGACTCAAACCGTAACTTAGCCCTTGTATTGATGGCTGTTAATAATACTTTTTTCCCAAAATCCCGAAGTGTTTCCAGGGATTCGTGGATCGTGTATTTTGCCATTGGGTTAATTATCGAAAGAGATTACAAAGCTACAAATTTTGAATATGACTTATGCCAGAAAATGAGACCAAAGGAACGTTTTAGCCAAATATATCATAATGCAATTATTTCAACGGGAATTTGATTTGGTAGCTGCTGAAATGAAAACTTACAGAAGGTGATCACCTATTTCGACACTCATTCGGTCTACTAGAAGTAAAACCACTTTTGTTGATGTTCTGCGCCACTGAGCGAACACCAGATTCAGAACCTCTGATTTATCAGTTATGCTATTTGATCACCAACAAACTCATGGAAGTATATATTTATTTATATCGAATGGCAGGCGTTTTGATAGTTATCATTAGCTCTGGAGCTGACTTTGTGGCTTCATAGAGAGGAGGAGGAGGAACATTAAAGTGACAAAAAGTCGAGATGGGAGACAGAATAATGATTCACAGAGGCAGAAGAGACAGACAGACACTAGGGCATAAAAATGGCATGATGAGCACAATAATAGAGAGTAGGGTAAGGTGAATACTGTAGAAGTGGTCAACTATGACACACAGTGGTGAGTACTGTGAAAATGATCGAATATGACATGGAGTCAGCGAGTACTGTGGAAGTAGTCGAATATGACATACAGTGGGGCGAGTGCTGTTGAAGGGGTTGAATATGACAAGCAGTCGGGCTGATTGGTAGTTTGAAGTGAGAAGTCAACTGCCGGTTGATAGACGTAGTTTGAAGTCAGAAGTCAACTGCCGGTTGATAGACTTGATGGTAATTGAAGTCAGAAGTCAACTGCCGATTAATAGACTTGGGGTCATGATAGTTTGAACTCAGAAGTCAACTGCCAGTTAATAGACTTACTCATGGTAGTTTGAAGTCAACTGCCAGGTAATAGACTTTAGTTTGAAGTGAGAAGTCAACTGCCGATTGATAGACTTTTATTTGAAGTCAGAAGTCAACTGCCAGTTAATAGACCTTTTCAGTCAGAAGTCAACTGCCGGTTTATAGACTTTTTTGCCGTTTGAGTAGTCAGAAGTCAACTGCCGGTTAATAGACTTTTTTGTGAAGTGAGAAGTCAACTGCCAGTTAATAGACCTTTTTGCGTTGAAGTCAGAAGTCAACTGCCGGTTAATAGAATTTTTTTGCCGATAGTGAGAAGTCAACTGCCGGTTTATAGACTTTTTTGCCGCTTTGAAGTCAGAAGTCAACTGCCGAATAATAGACTTTTTTAAGAAGTCAACTGCCAGTTAATAGACTTTTTTTGCCGTATGGCCGTATAAGTATACGTTGCCCAGGGTGCACCACGTGGAGGTAAGTCTATTGCGCACGCCCTCATGGAAGTATTGTTATAACCGACTTCGATGGATCAAAAACCACACATCTGAACATATCCAAAACAGTTTTGCGTTTAGAGTTCAACTTAAGTCCGCTGAAGATTAAAATAAAGATATGTCGAGGTATGATCTGTCGGGTTCTTAGAATGAAAAAATCAATTATATTGCGTAAAAATAGGCACTGAAAACGCTGCCTGTATGCTTCGAAACATTAGGCCAGCAGATAACAATATCGACAGCTCCGTGGCATGACGTCAATATCCGCTCATACTTGAATTGCCCATTCCAATCCCCACCCCCCACCCCCGCGTCTTCTCGCTTTCGGATGCTTTCCTAGAATCCAAACTCTCAAAAGAATTTATAGCTGCCTTGGCCAATGATTCCATAACCCTTGGTGTTAAAGCCAACTTCACCTTTTTACCCTCAAGAACCTATTTTTTTCCTAAAATAGGCATTTAATTTACCGTGAAAATGCAAAGGCGCTCAGACTTAGAAAGAAGCCGTTGAAAATCGATCGATTTTACCGAGGAAGTGGGCACAATGACTGCTCCAAGGTAAACTATCTCATTAAATAAAGCAATAAACTATTCATTTGTTCTAAAAGTAAATTTGAGTTATCAAAAGTACAGCAACTAAGGCTCCTCAAAAGTGCATTCTTCCAAAAAATGGGAAAAAAATAAAATCAATTTCAATCTCAAATTTCCCTCATGCTGAAATTTTCCCACGAGAAGAAATTGAAGACCATGGATATCTAATTTATGTTTATGTCTGCGGTTATTTTTGTGCAGAAAAAGGTTGCAATTTTTCATCAGCAAAGTCTTGGGATGGGGGTTGGGGGGGGGGGGGGGGGGGGGGGGG